GGCGAGGTGGGAGCCACCAGCTTGAGACGTGGCCGCGCGCGTTGGTGCTGGCGAACCCGCTCTTCCGCCTCGGCACTTCCCTGAGCGGCCTGGCCGCCCTCCTCCTCCTCGCTGTCGCGCGTCCGCACCCTTCCCTTCCCGCTCCTCGCCGGTCACGTTTCTGCTCACCGGACGTGGCGATTTTCGATTCACAGCAGTTTTCTTTGCAGGCCAGATTTTTCACAAACCCACTCGTTTAAAATGGTAGGTCCTTACCGTATTTCTTGTCTACCGAACACAGACTGGAAACTAAATTCTTGCTTGACTTCACGGACGCCAGTTTTGCCCAAGGTTACCATCTGGTACGAATCAGTTGGGCACGCTTTATACCGATCTGACCCTGGGCTATGGCCATGGCCTCTACCAGGAAACCGATTAGGGTGGCACTGGTTGCTTTTGTTTATTTTGGCGGCCGGCTAGCCTTGGCTTGGTACTCGGGGTATTTACTTTAGGGGCAAAAGCCATTTTGGTGTGTGTTGGTGTGATAGCGTGACGTCAGTTTGCTTTTGTAAGTATTTCCAGGTTTTTAAAAGCCCAAGTGGACTGGCTTCTTTCTAGTGCAGGAGGTGAGCGTGTTAGACATTTGTTAGAAAAAAGAAACATAGAACTAGTCGTGTACCTGCTGAAAGAACCAGTTCACAAGGATGATGTTCTACTTATCAGACTCTTTATTTTTCCTTAGTCTAAAATGTTTTGTGAAGTAACACGATCTTCCATGTACCGGCTCTCAGCATAGAAATGCCAGGGACTTAACTTACTCAACCTCAAGCGAGAAGGGAAATTCCTCTCAGCCTCGGTTTGGGACTTTCCCCCTCCTGGTCCCTGTAAGTGCCCTTCAGGCGGACTGCAGATGAGCCGCCAGCAAGGTTGGCAATTCAAACTCAGGAGAAAGCGGTGACTTTTTACTCCCATAAAGAATTCGTCTTGGAAACCCATGGGGGCAATTCCAACTCTGCCCAATATAGGGCCACCCTGAGTTGGAATTGACTGGATGACAGCGAGCTTGAATTGTGTGTGTGTTTTCTTAAAGTACAGTGCTATTTGAAATGCACTCATCCCAGCGGTTTATGGCTGGTCCTGGCTGCATTCGACACCGAAATGTGAAATCCCATGCAGTGACACCTGTGAGAACGCTTTAGTTTTCTGGGCCTTGCAGGTCTGCTTCTGATGGTGCAGGCTTTTTGGTCACTCATTTTAGTGGAAACTCTTGACAAGTTTTAGCATGGTTTTCGAAGGTTTGACCATTTCTTAAATCTAAGCCATTGGAGTAGGTCCTGAAAAACAAAAACAGGAGGGGAGGAGGGGGCTACTAAACCGATGGTAGCTGAAAGCAGTATGCCTACATAGGGATCTTCACCTTAGTCTGAAGAACACAGAGATGCAACCTTAGTCTGAAGAACACAGAGATGCCGCTGAAGGGGTTTACCATAAACACTCTAGTTGCTCAGTAAGACTCCATAACCTAATGCCTGCCATGTAGACTGCTTTTTAGGAGGCTTCTAGCCAGAAAATCACTAAAGCCAGGACAAGTGATTTGATTTTGTGGTTCACATCCTGCCTGATGGGAGGGCAGTAGCAATGAGGGAAGGGCAACTCCTGTTGCTACTTCAAAGGAGCGCTTCTTTAGTTAACATCACTAACTGGGTAGGTCTAATGTCATATTTAATGTGAATCTACTTCCTAGTAGATAGAGCCATGGTAGTTACATGCTGGCTGCTACCCACAAAGTCAGCGGTTTGAAACCACCAGTCTGCTCCTCAGGAAATAGGTGAGCTTTTTACTCCCCCAAAGGATTAAAGCCTCAGAAACTCACAGGGGCAGTTCTACCCTACCCTGTAGGGTCACTTTGAGTGGGAATCAACTTGGTAGCAGTTGAGATTGTTTTTTGTTTTTTTTCTATGACTGGCTCTACTTGATACCTTTTTGTGATACATTTGAAACGAATGCAAGTTTACTTTGTTTAAACTTTTGTTTGAATAGTTGGCAGGAATTCTATTTCAAGTGCTTGATAAACTTTCTAACACTAGGATACTTAAGAAGGACACTGAATTATGCCAAGTTATAGGGCCTCAACCTCTTGAGGTGCTACCATATTTGTTAGATAATTACTGCATTGCCTTGGAGGCTAGGAGCTTGTTCTGACTTTAAAGCCTGTCTCAGCTCCCCTCCTTGCGTGGAAAGCTGTTTCTGATGGAGAAACTTAGCTGATTCTCTTGTCATTGGGACCTCAGCTGAAATGTCACCTCCTCAGACCTTCCCTTCGGTGGCCATCCAATCCCTGTCTAATTCTTCGTCTGCCTTGTTCTTTAGACAGTTTCATAACATCTGGGATCTGTTTTTCTTACGTATTGAGAAGATTGTGAAAGGAAGAGAATTAGATTTGGGCATATGTTCACTTTTTGTTAGAAAAACAAACATATTTTACTCTACTTAATGGCTGGTTGATGTGAATGCAGCCGAGCACTGTAACATGGTGAAAACTGCTATGACCCATTTCCCATTTAGCCTAAAAAACCTCAAACTCATTGCTTTTGAGTCAATTCTGTGCATAGTGACCGTGTAGGGGGGAGTAGAAACTACCCCATGGGGGTTTCCCAGGATGCATCTTTATAAAAGCTGACTGCCATATTATTTTCCAGCAGAGCAGTAGGTAGGTTCAAACCAGACCTTTCAGTTAGCATCTGAGCTAACCATTTGCGAAAGTACTCCTTAATAGAGCTAATAAATACTGATGTACAACTATGAAGTATAGCTGCAATCTGTAGGACTTCTTATTACAGAGGACATCGTGACATTAACCTCTTTACAAATACCCAGTTAGAATCAACATCTGCCCTCATCCTCTTTGGTTGTAATTAACTTTTAGAAAGAAAATGAAATATTTTGTTTTTCCATCTTCCTTAACCTCAAAGACTTGAGTATTGGGATGCCTTTGGGCAAGGGACATCATTTAGTCATTTTGTACATCTGAACCATTCAGTTCATCCATTTGATCTTATGGAACCCTAACTGTTTAATATTAAGAAATTAAATACACAGGGAATCCAGGACAGATTGTCCTTTCAGGACCAGTGGAGAGAGTGGCGATACCAGAGGGTGGAGGGAAGGTGGGGTACAAAGGGGGAACCAATTATAAGGATCTGCATATAACCTCCTCCCTGGGGGATGGACAACAGGAAAGTGAGTGGAGCCATCGGACAATATAAGATGACAAAATAATTATTTATAAATTATCAAGGGTTCATGAGGGAGGTGGAGAGCGGGAGGGGAGGGGGAAAATGAGCTGATACCAAGGGCTAAGTAGAAAGCAAATATTTTGAGAATGATGAGGGCAACAAATGTATTTGATACAATTGATGTATGATGTAGAGCCCCCAATAAAATGATTTTTTTTAATTAAAAAAAAGGAAATGAAAAGTTTTATCTGTCTGCTTATATAACTGAAGGACTGATAGAAAATAGCATTCCAGCCTTTAAGGAGCTACCTATTTCTCTTAAATATGGTGTAACAATTTCAGTAACTATGAGGGCTTCAAAGGGTTCATGTAAAAATAGAGTGAAAAGATAATGGAATTTTGCATTTTTTTTTTTTTTTTTTTTTTTTTTGGAAAACTCCTTTGATTATGTATGGAATGCCACCTGAGCAAGACTTAAGGAATTTTGGCAGCTTTGCAGTTTTTACATCTGTATCACCTTAACAAAATACATCCACTCCTCACTTACCAACATTGTTAGGTTCCAAAGATTGGTCGTTAGGCAAAATTGGCATTCTGCAAAGAGGAGCATGTGGCACCCTTGGAGCCCGACTTTGGGAACTCCTGTTCCCCGCACCACTGTGCTCTGGCTCTGGACCCAAGGACATGCTGTCAGGGGCACTGGCACTCACACGGACCTAGCAGCTGACTAAAAAGTTGAAAGATCTGGGCCTCAGGCAAATGGTCAGAATGGTTGCTGGGTGTTGCTGCCCATGCCCCCTTTGAAGTCCCAACCACCTGCTACCATCCTGGAGGGCCTCTTGGAAATGAGCAACGTGCTAGTGGTCCTGAAGGGCTTGGAATCCAAGGCGGAGAACCTGGAGACTAACAGCGGCTCTCAAGAGGAGCTCAGCAGTCTGAGCCATGGAGGAGGGGGGCCAGTATTTGTAGCTTCCCTCTCCCCCACAGGCCCTGAATTAGCCCTGTAACTCTTCTCACTGCAGAACTTAGTCTCCTTAGGGTGCTAAAGGTAATAGTAGCATAACCTCCCCTATGCCGATATGTAAAGGCCCCTCTGGCTATTATGGGCCCTTGTTGGAATGGCTCTCAAAAAATCTACTTGAAATGCCCTATTCACACGAAGAGCTCTAACAGTGGCTCCAGTGGTGAGTATGGGACCAGGCGGAGGCCTTTGGTGGGGGAGAGCTGGTTGCTTCAGCTATGGGCTTGACAGACATGCTGGCTCTGCAGGCAGGGAGCTAAATGTAGAAGGAACCCTAAGTTGGGTAATGTGCAAAATAGATGTTTTATTATTGCTGTAAATGCAAAAGGTCAGAAAAAGAGATCAAAGGTAAGTGAGGAGTAGGGATACCCCTCACTTTTGTTATCAGATCTTTCATACTTATGGTAAGTTTGAAAAAATTGAGGTGACGCCTCAGATAGTATAGGCCCCATGATGGCCACCATCAGTAGCCAGAAGCTCTTGTGTGCCCTTAACTTTTCTTTACACAAGGTTACAGACAGGCTGGGCAAGGGACTGTAAAGGGCCAAGGAGGGTGGGGCCCACAGGATAATAGAGAAGGGAAGAGGGCCACAGAGTTGGGGTGATAGGGGATTAGCAGGTTCCTTGCCCAGGGCTGGGGGGGCCTAGTGGTGCCTTTTTGGGCGGCTAGCCACAAAGTAAGCTGATGTTCAAAACCACCAGCTACTCCCCAGCAGAAAGATGAGGCTATCTTATCAATAAGGAGTTACACTCTCAGAAACGCATACGGCACTTGCACGCTGTCCTTATTTTGCTGAATGGGAACTGTCTCTATGGTACTGAGTTTGCCCAGGGCTAGCACTATCCAAACACGAACCTCAACCCCCATGGGCTCCGCAGTTGTAGGGAAAGGGGAGGTCTGCCAAATCTTCAGATGTGTGAGGGGCATCTGACTAGCAGTGAGCAAGGGGCAGGCAGGCACTGGTGTCCGAGTATAAAGGCTCAGCATATGCTCATTGACCTTTACTAAGTATACAGACTATCATCGTCGCATATTTTTGGAAGGATTTCAGAAAACCTTCAACATTCTCACCACCTACTTTCCTTTATTGTGTGTAGGTTTCCCAGGCAGCTGCAGATTTGAAACAGTTTTGTCTGCAGAATGCTCAACATGACCCCCTGCTGACTGGAGTATCTTCGAGTACAAATCCCTTTAGACCCCAGAAAGTCTGTTCATTTTTGTAGTAAGATGAATCTTTCAAAGGTAAGTTTTCTGCACATTACAAAACCGGTAAAAAAACCTCACAAAATAGGAGTAACTAGGCAGTCCTTTGCAACACTTTATAAAGACGACAAAGGATGCCAATTACTTTTGTTTGGCACTGTAAATTTCTAGTCTTTTGGAAGGAAAATGAAGATAGGAGAAACGTGTTTTAGTAGTCTTGAAGACTAACAATTCCCATTTTACACCAGAGGTTTAGAGGATTACATAACTACAGCGAACTCCAAGCGTTCGAACTCCGACACTGCCTGGTTTTCTGCTTTGACGGGGTAGTCTTTCCACTTTATTGATATTTTAGTGGAAAATAATAGTTTTTCTTGCTTTAACAGCTTTCCACCTTACACCAGTTACAGCTTTCCCAGGTTTTATTATATTATTTGATTTGGATTAATTCCTATGTTACTGTTTATTAGGGCCCACCTGTAGGTCATTTTAACTAGGGGTAAATGCAAGATGAAGTAGTTTAATAAGGCGTATGGTATGGGCATTTTGAGTGGGGTATAATTTACAATGCAAGGTACTAACAAAGTCCTTAGCATATATTCACTTGTGTTGACCTACGAGAAGCAACCTTAAACTAATGCTTAAAAAAAAACCTCAAGGATATGGCACATACTCTTTAGTAACATTTTGACTCCTCAAAGTCTAGGAAGTTAACTCCTAAAATAACATGTTACATATTATGCCCCTCCCTGATTAAGCTTTGTAGACTTGGGAGTGTATAGGGACTCTGTGTATAATGTACCATGCTTCCAGTAAATACAGTGATAGGTTAAGATGACAAAGGCTTTGGAAAAAGCAGGAGTGGGTTCTCCACAAGGAAGTAATTTTAAATAACTTTAATATTTCTTTACTTTCGACAGTATTCATTTCATTCTTCGTGGCTGTTTGGGGAACATTTGTGGGTTATTCACTTTATAAGGAGATTTCTTTTTATTTGGAATAAAATACTGTTGAGCTTGGGATGTTTTCATTTCATAGGAGTTTAGAATGATTTAAGGGTATGAATATGCCTTGGATAAGAATCTAAATTTCAAAAGTAAAATAATGGATACAAATTCCAGCTGTATAATAAGGGATTGAAGTCTTTTGGGCAGTGGAAAATGATTTGAAGCAGTATGGAAAGAATATCAGGTTATGTGCAATGCCTCATAAAAGTTGAATGGGTCACCTTGTTAAAATGCAGTGTTCATCTGTAGGTTTGGAGTGAGGCCCTAGAATCTGCATTTGTAACATGTGCCCAGGTTATAGTGCAGATTTTGGTCCTTGGCCTACATCACAAGTAGTATGTGCTGATGTACATAAATAAATTTGAGTGTTTACTCATAATTTTGAAAAAGTTCTATGGTTTTTATAATTAGAAGGAAAGAAACCCCAGGTCAATTTAGCAACTAGAACTAAAAGAAAAATAGAAATCCCAATGGTTCATTACATCTATACATACCCACTATTGAGATTACTTCCTCTTAGTGGAAAATTTTTATTTTCAAAACAGATTGATATTGCATGCAATTTTCCATTCTGTTTAAAAACTTAGTTCTATATTTCATTATTTTGAATGGTTGCACTAGTTTAATCATATGCCATTATATGTTTCCACTAAATTTGAGGTTACCTGGAAATGAACACTTTGATACTTGACTTTTTTTGGACTTTACCTCTCCTAGTATTAGGGTTTTCAGAAGAAAATGAGTCATACAGTACGTTAAAGTTTTTAATAGCACTTCAAAAGCACTGCAAAGATTACCCTTTCCTTTTCCCCACTCTGATGAACAACCTTTTGTTGAATCTTTGGCAGCAAAATTAGACTTAATACAATTCTCTGCCTGTCTCATTGTAATGTGCACTAATTCATTTATCTTAAATGAGGCTAAGTAAGCATTTCCGATGCTTACTCTAGTACTAATTCTGCTCATGTTGCGCGAACACCTTTTTGTTAGGAAATAATTTCAAACTTTCAATTAAGTACAAAGAAGAGTCCTATGCCCACTATCTTGAATTACATATTTTGCCCTGTTACCTTTTAAAAACAAGCGTAACTGATTGAAGCTACTTTTTTACTTTCCCCAGAGATAACTTATCTTGAAGTTGATATGCCTATGCTATTTTTGATTTTTACTGCATGTTGATTGCATTTTGTGATTTTTTTTAAAGGTGTGACTATTGAGTATTGTATAAAAACACGCATATATATATACCATGTAGATTATTTTAATTGCTGTATAGTGATATTTTATATTTATATACTATATGCCCTAGAGGTAATTATGACTTGTGACAATTATCCACTTCTCTATTGAATTCCATTTAATCTGTGTATGGTTTGGGGTTTGTTTGGTTTTTTTTGCTGTTTATTGCAGTCAGTATTCCTACTTGGTTTCAATGTATAGGTTTATCTTGGAAATTAAGGTTTTAATGGAATCTTTTATTAGATATTTCAAAAGGGGTCTCTCTTTTTTAACTATTCTCAGGATGCTCAGATTTTTCTTAAGACACTTAAAATAAATCAAACTTAATAGTCCTTTTAAACTGTAGTCAAGTGTATTCTAATCTGACAGTGATCATGGCAAGTTTGTTTATAAAACAAGTGATGCATATGTCAAGAGTGGGTATGACAGTTAAATTACATTTGATTGCTTAGTGTATGAGGTAAGCACTTTATGTGTTGATAATTTTTTCCTAGAGATCCTATGATAACACAGTGCGTTCACCTGTTTTGTTTCTTTTTTAAAAATACTGATGGAAATGGACCCAGTTTTTAATAGAAAGTACTTTTATAAATTGACATTCAAAATAAATACCACAAAAGTAATATAGCATGTACAGCTATTTAGAAAAACAAGATACATGAGCAATTTATAACAAATTGATAAATATGTAATTAACCATCCATTACAAATATAAATTATTCAATTTTCTAATTCATTTTTCCTTCCATTTTAGGTTTCCTAAGCCACTTCTCATGAACCAGTGAATATTCAAGGAGAGCTAAATTTGAACTTGTACAAAAGCTTGTCTTCACAGTTACATGTGCCATACTATACAAACTTCTACTTTTGTCAGTCCTTAACATCTACCTCTCTGAATTTTCATGAATTTCTATTTCACAAGGGTTGTTTTATATACACTGGCATCTGCATATAATAAAATAAACTTAATACAAATGTTTTGAGTTACTGGTGTTTTATACATTTGCATTAATCTGCCTTGGTCACCTAAGATAAATGACAATTTCCCATTAAAAAGGGGTTAGGTTCTGAGTGTTCCCCCAACTCTTATCAGGCGACCTTAAGCTATGCAACATTTGCAACACTGCTAAGAATTGTAGGATGTCTATGTGTTTACCCATTGTTATATAATCAGTGCCAACTCTTAGCATCCCTAAAGGGCAAAGCTGTAATTATTACAGAAGCAGATTGCTACATCTCTGAGCGGCTGGTGGCCTGGTACCTTTGACCTTCCGCAGCTCAGTGCTTCTCAGAGTGCCGTAGTACAGGACATTTAGAATGGGAAATGGTGCCTAGAAGGACTACTGTAAGATAAGACCAGCTGAGCCCACTGTGCCACCAGGACTGCTGTGAAAGGTTTACCAGAAACTCACTGCCATTAAAACATTTAAGAATCCTGGCCCCCGCCAAATCATTCAAATGCCAAATCAAAACTACCAAGCAAGGGTTCCAAAATATGTCTGCCATAGAACCAGTGGGTTACATGAGATCTAGCAAGCATTTTGTCCATCCCACATGCCCCATAAAAATGCAAATAGGAAAGTAAATTGCACTCCAACTTATTCACGATTACCGCAAAATAATAATACATTTTAGGAAACCTAAACTGCAACTTAAACCTTCATCCAAAATCATTTCTATTTGCATATGCTACATAAACTGGTAGTTCATGGCACTTTGTAATTTTAGACATGAAAAGATAAATCAGTGCAATTTTGAAAAAGCTCTTCTGTCAGAATTTACCAAGTTCATGATAGTCCTGTTTAGCAAAACCCAGTATTTTTCCAATGCTGCTATTTCAGAATTTTATAAATGAAATTTTCTTCTACTTGTATCCATTTCCCGGGGCTGAAAATTGGAGAAAAAAACATCAACGTGGGTTATAAAAAATAGTGAAATTCTAAATCTATAGCACTACATGCTATACATAATAGGTGTTGGAAGTAACGTCCATATGTGTGTACATAACTTTTACAGTAAAAATACTGCTTATTGGGTGGAGAAATGTTCTAAATAAAGTACTGACACTTTATTTATAATCACGATCCTCAAACTTCTACAAAATTTCTACCATTAAAGCTATAGTACTCAAACCATTTGTTACTTCCTCCCAGACCAACCCCCAACTGCTAATTCTTTAGGATCTTGGTCCCAAGAATTTACATTCCTAACAGGTTCCCAGTTGACGCTGTTGGCAAGCTTTAGGCTACCTCAAATGTGCCATCCAGTTAACTCTGACTGATGGCAACCCCATGGGTGCAAAGAATTCCATAGCTTAAGATTGTAACCACTTGAAATAATGCCTTCTAAGGTGGGTTGTCTGAATTTAAACAGCTACTCTCAACTACTAGGTCTGTACTACCCAAGGTTAATCACTAGACCATCAGCGATTGGTTCTCTCCAGTTGATTTGTTTGGTGGGGTGGGGAGTGTGAAGTTCCAAAGTACAGGGTTATGAATGACATCTATTCCATAGTATGTCTTCAGAATTTGTGGCTCAGTTGAACAGGTGCATATGGCTAGCTTTAATTTAGTCTAAGAAAAGTTCTAAGTCTTCTCAAGCAAAGGTGGTGACTGTGATAAAGAACTTTGTTAGAAATAGGGGTTGGGGCAATGAATGTACAAATATGCTTTACACAATTGATGTGTGTATGGATTGTGATAAGAGTTGTATGAGCCCCTAATAAAATGATTTTAAAAATATATAAATGTATATTTTCGACGAAGAATCTCCATTGAAAACTGTTCTTAAATAATTACATCACAGTGGCAAAAATGGCCACTGAATAGTACCTCCTGGGGAACTTGCCAGGTCTCAACCAGAAGCTAACGTACGGACCCGAGCCCTGTGAATCAGATATACTTTGTAATATACTTTGTGTTCCTCAAAAAAAAGAAATAGGGGTTGATTTGTTTCAAAGTAAGGACAAGTTAACATTAAAACAGGGCTTCAAATGGCAGCATCCATTCAACAATGGTGACTGACCAAACCACTCAAGTGTGTGGCTCTCCCCAGTGCTGCCAATAGTTCAATCTGTAGCAACAAAGCCCACATGGAAGAACATATCAGCCTGTGTGATCA